GAAAGAAGAAAGTCATATACACCTAGGTTGGCTTGAGGGTGAGTACATTTTGGGGTAACTTTAATTTTTGCGTGAACTATCCCTCTAAGAAAGTTTTGTTTTATGTATTTTTTGTTATTTTTGTGTTGTTTTCTTTCTTGTTATAAATAATACTGATTTTTGGAATAAAATAATATTTTTCTTGTGTACATATAAGTGAAAACTAAATCTTTATGTACCTCATATAAACAATGTATGCTTTTTAAGAAAGAGTCGGATCATAAAAAATAAATAAAAAAAGAAAGAAAAAGAAAAAAGAAACTAAACGGATAAATTTTGATTGCATATTTTGCTTCAAGTTGAACATGTGGCACTCACAAGTGAAAGCTCTCGTCCCAGATGGGATTGAGATTGCCGTAGATGGTCTTGGTTCTCTTCTTGGTTTTGCCCACCTGTACCGTGACGTACGGGTCACTCGAACCCGTCTTATCCTTCGCCTGCAGACCCTGAGCACAATCCACTGACAGAGAAAATCATTTCTATAGAGACGATACAAACATATTTTGAAATCACTGATAACTGTACTTCTGAGCTCACATGTGATGCTGATTTTGGCCGACCACTTCGACGTCCCGTCCAGAACGCTCTGCTTGATTTGTTTCATCTGTGTCCCGTGGCTCGCTTTGGGAACGTCAAACACTTCCTGGATCAGCTCGAAGATCTCGGGTTTGTTGCGCTCGCGGATCTTCATGCGGTCCTTCAGAACCATGATGATGTTCTGCGTTCGGTCTTCAGCGCCGTGTTTCGAGCTCTTCTCAGCAGCTCCTGACCATCACATCCACAACATGAGTCATGCACAAAGCTTCTTCCACAAGCACAACTTATATCATGTTTAAGTCTAAGACATCTAAAATCTAACATGTGACCCTGGACCACAAAACCAGTCATAAGGGTATAAATAAGCTTTCCATTGTTGTACGGTTTGTTATGATCGGACAATATTTGACTGAGATACAACTATTTGAAAATCTGGAATCTGAGGGTGCAAAAAATTCTAAATATTGAGAAAATTATCTTTAAAGTTGTCCAAATGAAGTTCTTAGCAATGCATATCACTAATCAAAAATTAAGTTTTGATATATTTACAGTAGGAAATTTACAAAATATCTTCATGGAACATGATCTTTACTTAATATCCTAATGATTTTTGACATAAAAGAGAAATGTATAATTGTGACCCATACAATGTATTGTTGGCTATTGCTACAAATATACCCCAGCGACTTAACACTGCTTTTGTGCTCCAGGGTCACATATTAACACACTGTGTGACATTTAATGCTTGCATTTACTCAATATACTCTATGTTCAATTTATTGAATTCTTATTGAATGCATTAAACATGTTTATTATTTAAAATTATAACTATTTAAATTAATTTCATATATTTATTTTATTTATTTACTACTTATAATAATAAAAAAATAACATTTCTTTTTTATTTTATTTTTGTTTGTTTTGTTTTGTTTATTTTCATCCACTCATCACCAATCACCATCGCATTTAGTTTATGCAGGAAAAATAAACCAAGAAAGACTGTAATGCCATAATATCTTAATAAAAAAGTACTTAAAATATGATTCCACGGAAGTTCAGCAATAACTTATTCAAGTCACACTGCATTAAAAAAATATATATTTAAAAAAAATAAATAGATAAATTACACTACGAATGAGCAATGCTTTCCCGTTCATTCACACATATTTAGCTTTTCCTCAAGAAACTTAGCATTTGCTCACAAATATATAGTTTTTACTTATTTTCACCACCAGTTAGCTACACTACAAGTTACTAACAAGAAGGTACATAAAAGATCATTAAAAAGGAACTGTATCAAAATCAAAAGTAGCACTAATACTTTCAGTTAGTTACTCCCCATCCCATAAGCACTGTGTTCTTGCACACTGACGCTAGAGCTGGGCCATATGGGCAAAGATTCATATCTCGGTATTTTTTGGTTCGATTTGCGATATACGGTATACATCTCGGTAGTGTTGTCAAAAGACCCGGTACTTCAGTACCAAGTCGGTACTAAAAAATGAAAACGTTACGGTACCAGGTTTTTTTAAGTACTGGTGGTACCCGGTCAACCCGGTTCTTGGCGCGCTATCCGAAAGGTGCGCAGATGTGCTCTCTTCATAAAAGCA